GAGAAAGTGAATAAGGAAGTGTAATTTACCACTTCACATAACACAAGGCCCAGGAGTCACCCAATGAAATACATAGGCAGCAGGTTTAAAACAAATACAAGGAAGTACTTCTACACACAACACACAGCCAACCAGTGGAACTCCTTGCCAGAGGATGTTGTGAAGGCCAGAAGTATAAGTGGGTTCAAAAAAGAATTAGATACATTCATGGAGGATAGGTCCAGCAATGGGACACAACCCCATGTTCTGGGTTTCCCTAAACCTCTGACTGCCAAAAGCTGGGATTGGAAAACAGGGGATCGATCACTCAGTAGTTTCACTATTCTGTTCATTCCCTCAAACATCTGGAACCAGCCACTGTCAAAAGACAGGAAACTGGACTATGTAAACCATTAGTCTGACCCAATATGGCCATTCTTATGTTCTTATAACAAACACTGAAATGGGCTCTCTCAATCTTTCGCTGCGTTAACAAAGGCAGGATGGAGATGGATTGAAAGATACCTTCCAGTTGAGGACAGTTTGCTGCCTAGCTTGTTTCAGAAGGAGAAAGCTTCACTTTGCCTTTCTGCCTGATCTTCTTTCACAAGCAATAAAAGCAATAAGAAATCATCAAAATGTTTCTTTCCTCTTAGATGTTCTGTACAGAACAATAAAGTATCAAATTCTAAATGTCCTTTTGGTCACTAAATAATATTTTCCTTTTGGTCACTAAATAATATTTTCCCTTCTCCCCGCAAGAGCTCAAAGCAAATGTTTTAAAACAGTCTCAGACTAAAAAAAAACAAAAAAAAAAAAAAAAAGGAATGTGCCCTAGACTTAGAGTTTGTGTTTCCAGTTGATAGCTTGCAATGGGCTGCCCTTATTAAAATATACAGTCATAGACTGATTGGAGGCTCTTATGACAGCAATACAAAAAAAACCCACTCTACTACTTCTCTCACTTGGCCTTAATCCTCAAAAATTTTAAGTAATTATATACCAAGTTGTAGCCTCAAGGTTACGCACATGTGCAAACAGTCGATAAACCTCAATGTCCCAGGCAGAGCTGTGCTGGATAGATTTGTAGTCACATATTTTCTGATTCTCTTTTCAAGTATTTAAACATTGTAGTCAACTCAACTTTTTAGGCTCTGATCTTGCAAAGACTGAATCACATGAGTAACTTTATGCCATGTGTAGGCTTTGACTTCAGCAGGACTATTCATGGCATAAAGTCCCTCTGTGCATAAATCTTTGCAGCTTAATGCCATAGAGCCTGATCCATAGCTGACTGAAGTCAAAGGGACTCTTTCCATCAACTTCAATAGTCTTTAGATCAAGCCCCTAAAAAGCTACTTACCCCCATGAGCAACGTTTGAAATATTATATATTATAATTAAATATATATGATAAATGTGTGTGTGTGTGGATATTCAGTACACAGAGCACATACACTATTTTGAAATATAATAGATTTATTAATAGTAATTCCACTTACACAGTGTATTAGTTATTTTCTCTGATTTTCTTGCCTGGATTTTTGTTGCTAAATGTATTTATATGACAAGAAGATTTTGTTTTTCCAAGACTTCACTTGTTCCTTTCTACTATTCCCCAGATCATAGAAATGGGGTTGTTCACGCAGAAACCAACTCTGATGTTGCAGAGAATGATGATTTCATGCAGGGAATACTGTATTAACAGCACATGAATTCTAAGGAGCTCTAAAGAACCAGTTGCATGCAAATGTCTTTAATAGTTAAGAAATTGGCAAGAGAAATACAAAACATATGTGATACACCTGCAAAATTTGAGCCTGGTCTTTCAATTCTTTAGTCATTTGAATAGTTTGATTGACTTTATTGGGAGCATAAGTAATATTATTACAACTTAAATATGTTTACTTTAATGGAGGGTAAGGGTTTGCATCTTTGATTGCAAAGCATTTGTTTTCCAGGAGGGTTTAAGCTGCTATTAAAACAACGAGGAAAACATTTTTGGATGGCTTGTCTTTTTACATTTGGGATAGAAAACACAATAGAACACATTCATTTAAAAACTAAGAGCTATAGCAAAATGCTGATTCGCTAAGAAAAGTAATGAATTTGCATTGTATTAAATCAGTAACAAATTACTTATTCTATGGCCTGATCCCAAGTTCTGCGAGTAGTCCCATGGTCACTGGGGCTACTCACCTGAGTAAGGCTGTTCATGTTTGTAGGCTCAAGCCATTAGCCAGTAACAATAGTGACAGTATGGTTTGGTGCTTATAGGTGTGTTTGTATATTCAAATGATCTATAATACTCAGTTCTTTGGATTCGCAATGCCCAGGTATAAGAGTCTGTGCTGTCCTTCATGCTACTTTCTCAACAAAAGAACGTTACGAAGGAGCAGAGGTGGCCAGAAAAATGAGTGCTCTTCACCCACTCAGTCATTCTGGGCCTCTGTTTTTGACATCTATTCTTCCTCCTTCTGTATTCCACCAGCCCTATTTTTATCCAACCACACTTATCACAGATGTATGTCATTAAAAAGTACAGCCAGTGTTGCATCTCCCTATCTTAGCTAAATATACTGACTACCTAACCTCACCTACATATGTCAAACTTCTGACAAGCAAAGCAGCAGAAGTTCCAAGGTTACTCCTCAATGCCATGGTATATTCTGTAAGGTATAGCTTAAGCCATTTGGTAAAGCTATCGTTAGTCTGGATATTATTTTATATACATCTGGTGGAGCGAAATTGGATCAACTTTATAAGTATGTCAGTGTTTTCAAATTCTGAGCAATCTGCAGCCAGATTCCCTGCACAAATAGAGAAAATGTAGAAACACGACTTTAACTTTGAACAGTTACTTTCTTTTACAATCTTTTATGACAGCCATAGCATGTTACTGTTTTTAAAAGAACCATAATTGAGTTCTACGCCTGGCTCATCCACTGATTCTGTCTGACCTTTGGGCGAAACATTTGGTCACTTTGAGCTTCAGTCAGCACAGCTGTAGAATTAAAAAAAAAAAAATCAGAACTTCACTCTAAACCAGATGTTACATTGGAGCTGACGTTTTCCCAGGTCATAAACAAATAAAGGGAACACAAAAACAGTTACTTGAAAAAAACCTCTACTTCACTGCTCCAAATTTCCTGATTCTATTACAGTGAACACAGCAGGATGCCACGAAGAAATGCCACATGCACTAAAAACAAAACTTTCCTTAAGTCCTTAGATACAATATCAAATCCTAATTTTTATGGTTAAACATTCTAAATGTTCTGAATGAATGAGTTCAAACTAAGTATCTAAAGTGTCAGAATTAATGGTTTAATATGTTGAGATGTCTAGATAAAAGCACTTTACGACTTTAAAATTTTAGGGAGGCAAAGTGGCTCAGTAGAAAGTACAGTGGACTGGGATTTATGACATTTGTATTTTATTCTTGGCTCTGCCCCTGGCCTGCTAGATAACCTAGGACAAGTCACTCCACCTCTCTGTCTCAGTTTCCCCATCTATAAAATGGGGTTAACAATATTTAGTTCCTTTCTCAAGCACTTTGAGAGCTACAGATGAAAAGTGCTATACGAGTCTGCCAATAGGCAAGTCCCCTTTCCCTTCCTACATCCCTTCCAATGAATTGTTTGCCCATAGTTCTAATGGTTTTTACAACCCTTGCTAATATATTTCATCTGCCAGTATTGAAGCACTAATGTGTTACTCAAAATGCCAGAACACCTACCCACTGTTGTTCTCGGGGATGTTGATGGAAACAATGTGAAAATCAGCCGTTAAATAATTTACTAGAAAATTTGTGAACTTTTGCAAAAATAAGTAAAATTGACACTTCCAGAAAAGTGGTTCATTTTAATACCTAAAAATCAACAACTGATCACCGAAATCTTTTGAAGTTAGTAAATCCAGTTGGACGTGAGCAGGGAATAGTACAACATCCTAGGTCAGGCAAAAACCGTAATACCAAATTGCACTCTAAAACATTCAAATGATTTAGTGTACAAGATGAACAGACAATAGCATCCTGGTATCTTTGCCATTTCAAAATACACAAAAGCACTGTGATATGTGGGGATTACTGTATGGATGATGGACTACGGTACATTGTTACAGTAAAACAAAAAATAAGTGATATTTTAGCTTGCACCTGATAGGCTGGTTATTGTTATGTCTCTTCTTGCCCTACTTTATACGTAAGATATCACAGGTGCTTTTTTTTATAGATGTATGGCAGGTCAAAACATTTCATTGTGTAAATGTAGGCATTATGAAATGCCCCAGACTGTAAGATTTCAGTGCCCTGATTTTGACTTGGAAGGACCACTTTTAAGGGTGAAAGGATAGTGCTGACCATGCAGTCCTGGCCTTTCTATTGCTGCTTTCTTACTGCTAATAAAATGCTATGCTCACTCCTTTATATCGCTTTTCATCCAAAGATCTCAACGTGCTTTACAAAGGAATGTAAGTCTCGTTATTCCATTTTAAACTGATGTAAAGGGAAGCACGGAGAGTGACTGGCCCAAAGTCACACAGCAGATCAATAGCAGAGCCAGGATTAGAACACAGTACTCCTGAATCCAGGGCTCTAACCACTAGAACACAGTGCCCATTAGTGAGTCTGATTGATCTGATATGGACAAGGCCTGAACACCCTGGCTCATTTCACATAGGCCACAAACAGCTTAGATCTTCTTCGGTTGCCAAATTGAGTAAGGCGTCTAACTGACATCAGCTCTGTATCTCATTCCAGTCCCCTGAGCCATCCAATCCTCCAAGATCACTTGAAATTTAAATGTTTCATTAACTTGGAAACTGATGTGTGATGTGCACAACAGCTAAGGGGTTCATTTTCACCCACAAAACGCCTCCCTTCCCCCGCCCATTGCATCCTGTCTCCTAGGTGGAGTACATTAAGCAGTCCCGTTCACCCAAGATGACCCTGCTGAAAGTGCAGCAGCTCAATGTTACCAGCGGTAACGATGCGGGTGGCGGTGCCCTGCATGGTCTTACCCGATTCACAGGCGCCTTTCTGGATCTGGATGACAGCTGGCAACCCCTGTTGCAAAGCCTTACGGCTCACCGCCTTCAGCTGACACACATTGTCATAGGTCCTGCCATCGCTGCCGCACACCTGGTAGCTGAGCTTGCACTGGCATACCCCTTTACCGAAGCGCTTGCCCATGGGGTGCTTGCAATCCAGGCTGTCCCCGCATGGTGGGTCTTCCTTGCGGCCACAGGAATCACCTTCTCCCGCAGCACAGATGAGGCAGCAGTTGCAACGATCGGGGACGTAGCCGCTTGGGCAGCTGGGGCTTGGGCACTTGGAGACATTGCAACGAGCTGGACACTTGCCATTGGCCACAAAGGGCTCTGCAAAGGTCCGGCTAGAACTTAGCACCAGCAGGAAGAAAACTCGTAACAGAAAAACCGTCATCACCCGTGACACTTCTTTAATCAGGGAGAGGAAAATGTGCAAATCCAGGGGAATAACAAGAAGTGGGGGTGGGGGTAACAACAGGCAAAATGTGCAATTAAAATGCAATGAGGGAATAATAGAAAAGGGAAAGTCAGGCTTTGCACACACACAAGAAAAGGAAAGGGTTAATCTTCCTTAACAGCCCCCAGCCTGTGACTCTAATGCCTGTGACCCCTGCTAATGTTATGGGAGCAGTAGGCAGAAAGAAAATAGAGGCTGGGAAGAGGTTAAAACATGAAGCCACTAAGTAAAGGCTGGGTCAGTCCATTCGCGTAGAGTAAACTTGCAACAGCTCAGCTGCTCTTCGGGACTAGCTTGCAGGGCTGGGATTCCGAAAGCGGATTTAATCCTCAGAAAGCCTCCACACCCGGCCTCTATCTCCCCAGGTCTGCAGTGGCTGTGCAGGAGTTATCGGGAGCGCTGCAGGAGGAAGAGTTGCAAGAGGCAGTGAAGACAGAAGCAAGTTAAGCAGGACAGTTATATGCGGGATGTGGCTGCTGCTGCAGCTGCCTCTCAGGCGTCCCTGTCAGCAGCAGCACAGGCAGGACCAGCTGCACAGACCTCAGCTTCAGCCAGCAGTCTCAGGCCCCACCTACTCAGTGGAGAAGGAGAACCCTCCTCCCTTCCCTTCAAACACTCACAGGGCTACATCATGTCTGGGGTCAGCAAGCTGGCTGGGTTCAGTGCGAAGGGAAATGACTGCAGTTTACTTTGGGACAGAGACTCGGTTTTTAATGCTTGCGTCACCACAGTAACTGTTGGTAAACAGAGCGAGGATGAAAAGCAGGAGCGAGCCCAGCATTTCTGGGGCCCGTGGGCAGAAGGACAGAGCTACACTGTGTGAAAATGAGGGATTAACGCGCAAGCAGATGGTCCAAAATAGCTGTGAACAATTCAGTCGCGGCATGCAGGGAAATCGGAGAGGGAAGTGGCCTACGGCATCATCTTCCCTCACGTTCTTCCTCTTTCCCTCTCACCTTTGCCTTAATTAAATAGCACTTAAATATAGAAAATTATATATGTTCAAACCACCCTACGAACATTATTAATTGTGTTCATTGTGGTAAGGCCTAGCAACCAACCAAGATCAGACCCCATTGTCCTGTGAATTCCCACAACACTCTTATCAGGGCAGTGAGTATTATGATCCTCTTTTTACAGATGAGCAAATTGAGGCACAGAGAGATGATTTGCCAGACCCCCCAGAAAGGCTCAGTGGCACAGCTAGATTACAGCTCAGGACTTCCTGACTCCCAGCTCTGGGTGAGATTCCCAACTGATGTAAATCTGCATAGATCCACTGAAATCATCATGCCTATGTACACCAGCTGAGGATCTGGCCCTTTGCCTGTAAATCACCACTAGCTGAAAACTACTTTAATTCTTATTTTTTACATTCTCATTCTTATAAAATACTTCAGTAGGAGGTAATACTTACATAGTACTTTGCATATATAAATTAATCCTCATAGTGCTGAGTGGTAGGGATGTAATATTATATTCCCATTTTACAGAGGGCAATTACGGCATGGATTGAGGTCCAGATTGTACCCGTTGACTTTAGGTGATGAATGATTTGACCAAAGCCACGAGAGGACACTGTCACAGCCAACATTAGTACTCAGTAATTTCTAGCTTCCAGTCATCTGTTCAGACTGCACCTCTCTCTCTGTGGATACGACTACACTGCAAAAACAAACCGGCGGCTGTGAGTCTCAGACAGAGGCTAGAACAACTTGTATAGTGGGGGTGCTGAGAGCCATTGAACCAAACAGTAAACCCTGTATGTAATGGAAACCAATTCAAGCCATGGGGTGCGGCAGCACCACTAGTTGCAGCATCTATGGTCTCAGAGCCTGTCAGCTGATAGGCATGTAGGGCTTGTGCTATGGAGCTAAAAATAGCAGTGTAGGCGTTCTTGCTTGGGCTGGAGCCTGGGCTCCGAAACCAGGTGAGGAGAGAGGGTGTCAGAGCCCAGGCTCCAGCCTGAGCAGGAACGTCTACATGGCTATTTTTGCCCTGTAGTATGAGCCCCACAAGACCAAGTGAGATGACTTAGGTTCTGAGACTCTGCCACAGATGGGTTTGGGGGTTTTTTTTTGAAGTGTAGATATATCCTGTGTCACTTTTATAGTCTTTGATCTTTGTTAACTTTATTTCCTTCTCCATCCTGTGGCGCCAATATATTTTCCCTCCATGTTAACTCTTTCATGAACACAAGTTGAAATCTCACTCAAGCTCTGCGCAGGAGAAACTCCTTCTTTTCGTACGCGGACATCAGAGCTCAATGTCCAGATTCCGTAACTAGAGCATGGCCTCTGTATCAAGGGAGACCAGGCATTGTAAAGTGTCCTCCAGATGTCGGGTTGGGCACTCTTCCACCACATGAGCTATTGTCTGCACCACTGCCCTACAGTCACAACATGGAGAAGAAACCAAAGCCAATGCAGCATGTAGCTGAGGCCACTCTGGACAAGCCAGAGAGTAGCCCGCTGGGCCTAGTCCAGTGGACAAGGAGGCAGATGCAGCTATGGACTCCTGAATTTTCTTAGTGTGTTAGACTTTCCCACCAATGCTTCTGCTCTATAAGAATGTTGTTTTGAGCTCCCTGGCAGCGCTGATCATCTGTGCATGGTATAGGGCCAGTAGCGCTCTTGTCCAGGAGTGCATGAGCTGCTGTAGCAGAGGAGAGTCGAGAGATCAGCTGTGGTGTCACACCCACTAAAACCCTTTGGCAGGTTGGGTTGTGTGATGTGTGTGTGTGTGGGGGGGGTCACATCCTGCCCCTGGGGGGATGGAAGGGACTGGGGGGGGGGGGAGCTGAAAGCGAGCATGCTCCTCCCATCCACTTCTCAGTGGCAATTCCTATCCCATGGGGCTGGGCCCAGCTCGCCTCCCTGGCCAATTGACTCTCGCCATAGCGTCACATGACACAGGCATGCGGGGCCTTGCATGTGGGGGCCCCACCATGGCCCTCCACCCACTTTCTGGGCCTGGCACTGCTGGATCATTTGCATCAAGCTGGGCAGTGGCAAGCCAAATAAAATGATCTGTCAGGCCAGATACAGCCACTAGGCTACCAGTTGCCCATCACTGTTTTAGGCCCTTATCCTGCTGAATCATGCACACGTCAACTCAGATCCTCAAAGATATTTAGGCACCTCTCTCTCACTGATCTCTGTGGGAGTCGGGCACCTAAATACTTGTGAGGATCTGGGCCATCCAACTTTACATTCTGTGAGTAGTCCCATTGGGTGAAGGTAAGTATATGAGTAAGTCTTTGCAGGATTGGGGCCTTAGTTGTTACTGTAAATCAAAATATTCATTTTCTTGTTACTTTATAGAAAATATTTTTATAGTGTTTGATACTGAAAAACGAAACAAGCTTTGACTGAGAATGTTCTGTGTAGCCCAACTTAAAATTCAAAGATTTTGAAATGTTCTGTTGTCATACTCCTTTTGCATTTTGCTGAACTAGTCCAGTTTCATGGGAAAAAAACCTGTGAAATTTTGCTTTTGAGCAAAAGCCTAGACATTTTCAAAAACTGAAATGATCTGACAAAGATTTTTTCAACTGAAACAAAATGTTGAAAACATCTGTCTTTTCATTCAAACCCATTTTGGGGGGGGGGGGGGAGGAGGAGAAATCACAAAAAAGAAAAATGTTGGGATTTAAACAAACTCCTGAAAGAAACGTGTGTGTGTGTGTGTGTGTGTGTGTGTGTGTGTGTGTGAGAGAGAGAGAGAGAGAGAGAGAGATTTCATGGAAGTATTTTCATTATTTTGGCACAACTTTAGCTGCAAGTGAGAGGTCAAGAAAAAGATTTCTAGTTGTAAACAAATGGGCTGTGAGTGACTGGGTAGACCATGGTATTGCTGATGGGTGACAGAACCTTTCACAACATCATCATTATTATTGTTATTAATTATTTAAATTGTAGTAGCACATAGAAGTCCCACTTAGGCTAACAGCTCCATTATATTAGGGGCCTACAAATATATAGGATGACTTAGGTCTGTCCGTGGGGAACTTGAAATCTAGCAAGTGTGTGGAGTTTTACATAGCCCTTCACATCTAGGTTAATGATTTGCATGTTGTTAATTCAGGCTGGGAGGTTTTAAAAGGTATTTTTATCTGATGACTGTTCAGTGACCAATGTAAGATGAATTAGTAGTCCCATTTACAATTTCTTTTGGACAGGTGTACACATAAAAATATTGGCCCCACTAGGACTCAATCTTGATTGTGTCCTGAGTGGTACTGAGCGCTCTCAACTCCCAGTAGGAATTCATCACCATGAAAGATCAATCTCTTATTATCCTTCCTTAGCATTCTCACCAGAGAGACCAAAGACTAAGGCTATGTCTACACTGCCACTTATGCAGGTATAAGTTATGTCGCTCAGGGGTGTGAAAAAAACACCTCATGAGCAATGTAAGTTACACCGACAAAAGCGCCGGTGTGGACTGCACTATGTCAGCGGTGAGGACAGCGCAGCATTGGTACATCTGCGCCACTGTAAGCTCTCTAGTGTAGACATAGCCTAAGTGGTTAGAGATACTGAGCTACCTTCTCACTCCCATAGGTTCTCTCTCCAAATCAAGGTTGACACACATGGTGGGGTGAAAAGAAATGGAACTGACACAGTGCATGCTATACTTCATCTGTGGATAAATAAAGAACTTCCCTGTCCAGTGCCATCAATCCAATACCTTTCCCTAGCCCTTACATTCACTTCAAATACAAATATTGAATATAAGAGAGACAGGGTGGGTGAGGTAATATCTTTTATTGGACCAACTTCTGTTGGGTGAGAGAGACAAGCTTTCGAGCCACACAGAGCTCTTCTTCAGGTCTGGGAAAGGTACTCCTGGTATCAAGGCACAATGCAATTTGGAATAGATTGTTTAGCATAAGTAGTTAGCACATATAGTAAGGGGCCATTCAAGGTAGAGTGGCCAGAGCTGAAGAAGAGCTCTATGTGGCTTGAAAGATTGTCTCTCTCACCAACAGAAGTTGGCCCAATAAAAGATATTACTCACCCACCTTGTCATTCTAATATCCTGGGACCCACATGGCTACAACTACACTACATACAAATACTGAATATATGCAGTTAAAATTCCTTCAGACGATGAATCAGATTGTTCGGTGAAAAGAATTCTGCACAATGGGAAAAACAATTACATGGATTCTGAATCACTCAGCAAGAGTCATGCTGGGTCAGTAGTTGGATGGGAGGCTCCTCAAGACAAACCCAGGGCAGTAGAGGAAAGAGTGCTGATGATTCAGTGGGTGGCTGTCTTCTCTCCTGATGGGTAGATGGCAGCTTTTCTGCAAGCTCTGAGAATGGGGTAGCTTGTAGTGGCCCTGCCCTAGGAACACACTAGGAGCCAGATTGTAACTCACAGACTCACACTCTGGTCATGGTTCTGCTCTTGGTCCAGAGGGGAAGGAATCCATGCAGGCCCTATATCTGGCATAGATTAATTACCCTGCTGTGTGTGCTCATCCCCCTGTGGGGATGGAGTCAAGGCTCCACCCTATCCCTATCCCTGCCAGGCCATTCCTTGCCCAGCT